TTCTCCACAAGAACATGCCCCCAAATGCAATGCAACCAACTCAGTTCATATTCTAGAAAGCAGCTAATTAAATCAACTGTGTACAAGTGGCTATTTAACAAGGTCCTCCTCAATCTGCACTGAGGAGTGGGGGAGAGATGAGGTGACTGCATTTTCTGTATCTTATTTGTATATAACATCCTATGTATTTTATTTGCTATATCCCTAACTCCACCATCACCACCAAAAAAAAAAAAAAAAAATCATTGCTCAGTTTTCAAAATAGCAGCCTCAATGATATGTCTAGTAAAATATCTTAGCAACAGTGTCAATATTGTCTCACTGCAGCTAACCATATTAACATTCCACTCTAATCATGAATTCTCAAATATAAAATGGAATGTGAGTTACTTCATTCATTCTTCGAGCAGCACTCTTGGACAAAAGCCCTCTCACAGTTTCTATAAAGTGTCATAAAAATTAAACGTCAAAATTATATCCAATAGCTAGTACTTTTATATATCTAACTTGCAAGTATAAACATGAGAACAAACAAATGTTGACAAGGAATCGGCATAAAAACAAGAACCAAATAAAATGCACTGACAAATTGCTTGGATCAAAAGGATTGTCCCCTTGTTATATCTGTAATGGAACCCTTTCACTTATCTGCTTTTGTTTCCGTACTTCATGTTTATTTCTACACGCTGGCCAAGAACAGGGTTTAATAGGGGATGAGGGACTCTCCTCCTAAGAGTTTTTAAGAGTCACACACATGTACATCTACCTAGCTCCGGCGTCCTCAAACTGCGGCCCACCTAGGACATTTATCCAGCCCGCTGGGTGTTTTTGCCACTGCTGCCTGTCCTGCTTAGCAGCCAACTCGTCCCGGGACCCACAGTCAGGCCCTCCAATGGTCTGAGGGACAGTGAATTGGCCCCCTCTTTAAAAAGTCTGAGGACCCCTAAAGCTGGCTGGGGTGTGGAGACACAGGAATCAACAGTTCCCAAACGTGGCTAACCATTTAAAAATCATACGCTGGGCACAGTGGCTCATGCCTGTAATCCTACCACTCTAGGAGGCCAAGGCAGGTAGACTGCTTGAGCTCTGGAGTTGATACCAGCCTCCCCATCTCTTTTTGGGAGGCTGAAGCAAGAAAATCACTTGAGTCTAGGAGTTTAGGATTGCTATGAACTATGACTCCGTGGCACTCTACAACTGGGCAATAGAGTGAGACTCTTGTCTCAAAAAAAAAAAAAAAATCATTTTTTTAAAAAAATGCTTGAACCCCACCCCTGCTGAGTGACTGAGTAGGTCTTTGGGTATTGAGTCACAAGTGCCAAGGTCAACCAGCCAGGTTTAGGAATCACTGTACTATACTAGAGCCTGTTTTTATAAAGTTGAGGTCAATGCTAAATCACGTGTGCACAACAGCTCTGAATGCATACTCATCTTTGCAGACACAGAGACTTCTAGCTTCAGATCCTTGCCCCTAGGCCTCATATCCCTGCCCCATCCCATCTCCTAGAAAATGCATACCCTCCCAGACTAATTACAGCAACTGTCCCTACAGCACCCTGCTAAGGACACACCTATGATCTCACCATGGCTTTTTCCTCCACCTGCCAGACAGAATGAGCAAGGGTCACTGTCTGGACCATTTTCGAAAGGAGAAGAAAAGCAAGAATCATGTAGAATTACCGTAAGTTATAACAAAAGCAAACATTTATGAAATGCTTGCAATCACCCAGGCACTGTTCTCAGTAGTATAATTCATTTAATCCTCACAACAATGAAAAGTAATAGATACTGTTATTATCCCCACTGAACAGATGTAGAAATGGAAATACCACAGGCTGTACCCAACTTGAGTTGAACCCAGACAACCTGGCAGCTATACTATGCACGGACATGGGGTTTCTCAGAGATGTGTGGATAGAAATACAGGTTCAAATTCTGGCCTTACCCCTTAGTCACTACATAGTCTTAACCTAGTTTTTTCACCTCAGATAATAAGCTGTTGATTATGTGAGGTAATTTACCACACTGTCTGATACACGGTAAATGCTCAATAAAAAACAACTTTCCGTAGGTACTATCATATTTTCTCCAGAGAATTCACTTCCTGGTGAACTGTATAGCTTACTTACTGGTTTTTAGTGTCTTGAATAAGAAAGAGCTATCTCATCTCTCCCCTATAACATCTGAGTACCAAAACCTCCTGATGTAAGTTTAAATATTTGCACAAATATACTTTATTTTGCCTTACTTAATGGGCATTCTGACAACCAAGTATTATGTGTTTTTAAAAAAATTCCCAATCTTCAATGTTAGCATACTTGAAATTCTTAAAAAGACTACATTTCATTCGCCCCTCATAACTACTATCTGACACACAAGAGAGAGAATCACCTTCATTTTATAGGCAAGAAAACTGAAGTTCAGAAAAAAATGAAACTTAGCTTGTTCAAAGAGAACTGCAGGCACATTCAGACTGGGACTCTTAAGATTTTTGAAACCAACCCAACAGAGTTCTTATTCATCTTTAAGACGCTGCTCCCATAAATCAGAAAGGATTTGAGGTACTGTGTAGGGAGTCCAATAACCATAGTAACAATTTAATGGATGGAAAGGCAGGGGGAACGCTCCAGGAGCTCTAATCTTCAGAATCTTAAAGCTAAGGATGTAGCTCTAAGAGGTTTAATCAGATTAGTAGAATCAAAACTCACACACAAAGCAGGGAAATAAAGAGAGCTGACCTCCCTGAAAAAATGATTTGTAACCTCTCAGTTTTCAACGCTGAACTTATAGAATTAATACAAAATCCTTCACTTAATCTTATCAAAAATGAAAGATGACTTAGATGAATCTTTTTAGGCTTTATAACTCAACATTAAAGAGAACACATATGTTTGCCTTGCTCAGAACTTTAGTAAGTAATCCACAGTTAACCACTTACCAAAACATTAAGATAGCTACAGAACCCTACAAAAAAATAGGTAAAGAAACAGGCAGATTAAAGAATTCAATTTTTTTTTTTGTGTGTGGTTTTTGGCTGGGGGCTGGGTTTGAACCTACCACCTCCATAAGGCATATGGGGCCAGCACCCTACTCCTTTGAGCCATAGGCACTGCCCTAAAGAATTCAAATTTTTATGTATTTTTGATAAATACTTACATGACATACACTATGTGCCAAGCAAAGGTTTAAGCACTTCATGAATATTAATTCATTTAATCTTCCTTAGTAAACCATAAGGCACAGAAAGGTTTAGTAACTTGTCTAAATTCACACAGCCAGTAAACTGTGTAGCAAAGCCAGGTAGTATAGTTTCAAATAAACAATAAACCTACAGAAGTGTGTTTGAATTAAGAATTGCATCATTAATAACAACAAATCATACTGGTGAAGACGAAACAGACTGATCATAATCTAGGTTGGTAAGGATTGAATAACCGAGTATGTTCATATATTGCTGGGGGAGTTATATTTAATACTACCTTTCCAAAGGACAATTTGACAAATTAATTACAAGTGAACAAACTTGTTACTCAATAGTATTTCTTACCATTAGTCTATGAAAGCATAGGCAGTTATGCACAAGGAGTTTCACTCTAGAAATGAAATGGAGTAACAAAAAAACATACAACTTAAGTGTCCATCAACAGGGGAATAATAAACTAAGTTACAGTATCCCCATCCAATGTTATCCTGAGCTACATTTTAGAAGTCAATATACTGGCATTTGCTAATATGAAAAACACTTAAAAACGCATTCCAACAGCCTAGTTGTTTCCAGAATAAAATGCATGGTAAAGAATATGTGAGACCTGAAGGATCTGAAGATGTATAGATATAGTAACATATGCACATACATCCACGGCAAGTATTTAGAAAGATCAGATAAGAAACTTAACATTAATTGCCTTTGGGGAGTGAAAGGGAAGAAAAGAACAAATAAGATGATGGATGATGTTGATTCTTTTTCTTTAATACCCTCATATAGCTTTTCTATAATTATGCACTATATTTAGCTATTTATTACATTTATGGAGTTGGAATGGCTTTACCAAAACAAATGTTTTCAGAAAAGGATGGATTTATAGCAGTCGCAAGAATACTAAACAGAACTTAATTTTAAGATGCAAACAATTATTGATATTACACAGTGACTCTGAGTTTAGATTAAGACCAAGTACGAATCTCAGAAACAATCCTTCTGGGAAAAAGAAAAAAAATAATCAAAATAAGCCTCCCCCAAGAGAGGAATTATAAATAAAGAAAATCTATTATCCTCCACCTCAGGAATAGAGATGTTTTCCAAGAGATAAAAAAAGAAGGCCAGCCAGAGTGGCCAGTGGTACAAATAACTCATTTGCAATCGAAACTGTAATTTGTTCCTTGAGTTATAGAAAGAAAGTAAAAAAGGGGGTAAGAGTAAAAAAGAAAAAACCCTACACTTTCACCCCATCACTACTTTAACTAGCTATATGACTTTGGGCAGTTGTTCAATGCCTCTTTTCCCAAATGTTCCTCAAAAAATGAAGAAACTAAATTTATAAAATCATTCTAGATCTAAAACTTGAAAATGTAATTCCTTTATCTCAGTTTGGAAAAGAATCCCTATACATAATAGTCCAAGAGTATGCAGGCATGGAAAAAAGTTTGCACTTAAGAATATGACAATTTTTATACAACATGCCCTGAATAATGATTAAAAAAAAAAAAAAGCATATGAAGATTTTGGTGGTGCCCAGAGCTCAGTGGGTAAGGCACTGGCCACATACGCTGAGGCTGACAGGTTCGAACCCGACCCAGGCCAGCTAAACAACAATGACAACTGCAACAAAAAATAGCCAGGTGTTATGGTGGGCACCTGTAGTCCCAGCTACTTGGGAGGCTGAGGAAAGAGAATCACTTAAGCCCAAGAGCTGGAGGTTGCTGTGACGCCATGGCACTCTACCAAGGGCAACATAGTGAGACTCTAGTCTCAAAAAAAAAAAAACAAACAAAAAAAGGGAGTGCTTGCTTTGGCAGCACATATACTAAAATTGGAACGATACAGAGAAGATTAACATGGCTCCTGCGCAAGGATGACATGCAAATTCATGGAGCATTCCATATTTTGTAAAAAAGAAATAAAAATGTTAAAAAGAAAAAAAAAACGAATATGACAATTTACTAAGAAGATGTTACTGGAACCGACCTAGTCTGCTGTTAGGAACTCGCCAGAGTCAGGCTTCCAGCATATCTTGACTTTTTGGCTATGCGCAGAGGCTTTGGACAACCTGATGACTCATTCTAGTTGGTTTTATAGTTATTTTTGGTTTCTCTATTAAGTTACTGAATATAAAGCCAATCAGAATAGTGAAACTCTAGCCTCAGCACAAATATGGTATTTAGCAATGCAGACACTTTTATCCACCTAACACAGGCAATTTCACCATTAGTGACTTCAATGAAAATTCCCTGAGTGACTTTCTATAAAAACCCCACTACTACGCCCCAACAGCCACACGAGGAAAGGCAAAACCCAGATTATTAAGCCTCTCATATCCCCAACAGAAAAAATGTACAAGGGCATGAAAAGATAAGGAAATCATTGAATAGGAAATAGAGATGAGCACTAAATACTTAAAGAGGTTTACTGACCTCAAAGAAATGCTGATTAAAAACAATGACATGCATGTTTTAACCTACAAAACTGGCAATGATTATTAGAATCCACAACACACCCAATACGCATAAGAATCATGCAAACAGGGCAGCACCTGAGGCTTAGTGAGTAGGGAGCTGGCCTCACATACCCAGGGTGGAGGGTTCGAACCTGGTCAAGGCCAAACTGCAACAAAAAACAGCCGGGCGGCTCGGCGCCTATAGCTCAACCGGCTAAGGCGCCAGCCACGTACACCTAAGGTGTCGGGTTCGAATCCCCAGCCCGGACCCGCCAAACAACGATGATGGCTGCAACCAAAAAATAGCCGGGCGTTGTGGCGGGCGCCTGTGGTCCCAGCTACTTGGGAGGTGGAGGCAGGAGACTCGCTTGAGCCCAGGAGTTGGAGGTTGCTGTGAGCTGTAATGCCATGGCACTCTACCCAGGGGGACAGCTTGAGGCTCTGTCTCAAAAAAAAAAAAAAAAAAAAAAAAAAAAAAAAAACAGCCGGGCATTGTGGCAGGCACCTGCAGTCCCAGCTATGAGGCAAGAGAATCGCCTAAGCCCAAGAGCTGGAGGTTGCTGTGAGGTGTGACGCCATAGCACTCTACCGAGGGCAACAAAGTAAGACTCTGTATCTAAAACCAAATAAATAAATAAGAAAAAATCATGCAAACAGGCATGCTCACATGCTGCTTATACAGGTGGCGACCAATTCAGCATTTCTGGAAAACAATTTGGCAAGAGGCATTAAGAGCTTATAAAAAGTTCATTTCCATTTCCTTTCACTATTAATCCCATGCCTAAGCATATATACTCCTCAAATAATCAGAAATTCATATAATGGTAGAAAAAATAAAACCACAGCATCCTGATACAATAAAATACTGGGCACTTTAAACTACTTCAGAGAAGTAAAGGGAATTCGTCTTTGAACCAATGCCCGATATGTATGTGCTCATTATAGAAAATTTGGAAAATACAAGGATAAAGAAAAAACTAAGATAGTTTATATTTTTCCTTTGCCCTTTTAAAATATCACTAGTCTATGAAAAGGAAATCTTAACTATAACAAGCATTCTAACTGATAAAATACTGTGCACTTTAGCTGACAGCAGTTTTTTCTTCCTTAGCAATACAGAAAAAAATGGTGTGTTTTACAATCAATGGAATACAGGGCGGTGCCTGTAGCTCAGTGGGCAGGGCACCAGCCACATATATGGAAGTTGGCGGGTTCGAACACGGCCCTGGTCAGCTACAACAACAATGACAACTGCAACAACAACAACAAAAAATAGCCGGGCATTGTGGTGGGCATCTGTAGTCCCAACTTGAGAGGCTGAGGCAAGAGAATCACTTAAGCTCAGGAGTCTGAGGTTGCCATGAGCTATGACGCCACAGAACTCTACCCAGGGCAACAGCTTGAGATTCTGTCTTCAAAAAAAATACAGTATTACATACATAATGAAAATAAAGTACCATGGTTCTATTATGTCCCCTCAAAATTCATAATGTTGAAGCCCTAACTCCCCAATGTGAGGAATTTGAGACCTAGGGCCTGTGGGGATAATTAGATTAGCATGGGACCACACTAGATGGTTACTGCGAGGCTGGGGCCCTCATGATGAGATTAGCACTTTCATAAGAGATACCAGAGTCTGCAGTCTCTCCCTCCCAGCCATGCGGGAACACATAGAGGGGGCAACCATTCGCAAGGTAGAAAAGAGTTCTCGCCAGAACCTAACCATGCTGGCACCCTGATTTCCAACTTACTATCAAAAATAAAAATAGTTTTAGCCAAGTGTTGTGGTCGGTGCCTGTAGTCCCAGCTACTTGGGAGGCTGATGCAAAAGGATCTCTTGAGCCCAGGAGTTTGAGGTTGCTGTAAGCTATGAAGGCATAGCACTGGTGACCAAGGGTGACAAAGTGAATGAATAAATAAATTTACATATAAATATTTATAACATCTGGTACTTGGAAAGAAGTTCTCTATATATCTAAAGTTATATAGAAAATCTGCTGTGGTGGGAGAAGGGCTCCAAAGAAAATACATATCAACATAATTTGTTCGATTTCGGGAAGGGAGACAAAGGCACAGTCAATCATCAGGAAGAAAGCAGTGTGCAGATGGCTCTCTTCTATCCTTAACCTTGAGTTTGTTTCCAGGCTCTTGGCCCTGCTATCAGCCAGTTCTATGATCTATGAAGACCCCAGACAAGATCTCAAACCATTATAACCACCTATGAGCATGTTACTGGGGAAAAGATAAAGGTGGGAGAAGAGCCTATAGCACCCAACGTAGATGCCAGAGTATTTGCTGAGATCAGTTCTGCTTTTTCTTCTATTAGAAAGGAACAAGAGCTCTCCTTGCAGCGGCGCGGTGAGAGTAGAGTGGTGGCTACGGAGGTGGGAGCCATGGCAGGACAAGCATTTAGAAAGTTTCTTCCACTCTTTGATCGAGTATTGGTTGAAAGATGCGCAGCCGAAACTGTAACCAAAGGAGGCATTATGCTTCCAGAAAAATCTCAAGGAAAAGTACTGCAAGCAACAGCAGTGGCTGTTGGGTCAGGTTCTAAAGGAAAGGGTGGAGAGATTCAACCAGTTAGTGTGAAAGTTGGAGATAAAGTTCTTCTCCTGTAGCAGGAAACCAACGCAGACAGAAGACTCCAGGCACCAGTTGATTAGAGGAAGCGGGTTTATTCGGCCGGGGGTACTCGGAACACCAGCGTGTTTCCCAAAACTGAGCCCCCTGACTCAATCTCTTGCCTCTCTTTTATTCACCTTTCAGGGTGGGAGTGCTCGTGAGGGTCATAAGACAGAGAGTGAGGGTCATAAAATAAAGAATGAGACACAACATCATAGATTACAATCTAGGCCCCGAGTATGTCCGGGGAGAAACACGCAGACAACAGAAACGCCTGCGGTTTGGCTGAGGCCTACACAGGGTGGCCAGGACAGACTTTCCGGAACTGCTTTTTACTTTTCTCACCTCACTCCCAGAATATGGAGGCACTAAAGTAGTTCTAGATGACAAGGATTATTTCTTAGAGATGGTGACATTCTTGGAAAGTGTGTAGACTGAAATAAATCACTACTGAAACGGCGTTGACATGAAGCCGCCCATTCTACTGAAGTTCTGAAATTTTGTATCATGTAATTTCCATGTCTCTCTTTTATAATAAATTGATGATATCTAAACTGCTGACATCCCATGCTGAACATTTAGTTTCACTGTACTGATATAAACATTTCCAAATAAAAATATGTAAATAAAAAAAAAACAAGAACTTTAAAAAGCAATTTTGTTTATTCTTTAAGGTACCATACAGTTTTCTCAAGAAAGAAAAGATACACTGGGTATTTAGCAGAAGCTAAATCGCAAGCTAGGATGCTTTTGCAGAAAGATTCTCTTATTTAACCCTGACAACATCCCTCCTAAGGTGGTTTATCAAAGTTAAGAAAATTGGTCCAAGTTCAAGTTAAATGGAAGGTGATCAGGCTGGGTTTTGAACCTGCCTCCTCTAATGCCAAAGTCTGCATTTTTCCTTGACTTTGTGACACTCACAAGGAACAACAAAGACAAACACCAAAGAAAAAAAGTGATCAAATGAAAGGGAACAAACAGCATTCCTGCCCCTATTAAAAACCAGCTTGGTTCCATTCTGTTTAAATCGTGCCCTAATATTTTACAGAATTTGTTTAAATCTCCTGGTAAAGAGAAATACAATACCTTTAAGCTAAACTATTTCTGCTTGTTTTGTTGCTTGGGAAACATTTTTGGAGTCTGTTACCAAGAAGATACCAAATATCCATAGCTCAGCAAGACAACTTACTGCACCAAATTCCTAAATAATAGTCTACAACCACAGAAAATGGGCAATGGCAGCACAGAATAATCAAAAGCAGCTTCATATTTTCCGCATAAAACAAAGCATCGTTTGTACTGAGGCATTTTTAGAAGGTAACACTGCAAGCCAGACTTCAGCCTGGAATGGCTTAAAATACCAAGTTTAACAATCACATCAATGGCTTTTAAACTTTAGAGGCAAACAGCTTCCTCTTACACCAAATTCAAAGTGAAGAATGAGATGCAGAGCTAACAGATTAATTCAGTATACACACAGGCTTAGAGACTATCCGATGCCTTAATTAACATCATTACAAGTTTATTCAGCCAACCGCCTGGGTTTTAATGATGGAAAGGTAAAGGTCAAATGGCTTTTTTAATAAGTTGCTTCAAACTAACCCCCCCCTGCTGAAAAAAGGACACAAATAATTAAAATGAAAGGGAAAAGACTAATAAAAAGTTACTATTTTTGGCACATAAAGGTACCACTCCTTAATCAGTCTACATTTTAATTGAGGCATACCACAATTAAAAAGTTCGCTGAACTTAGCTCTTCTGCCTCAACTTGAACCTACTTCTGCACCAATACCAAATAACTAGAGGTTAGGGCAAAACAGTATAAATTCAA